GAAAGAGGCATTTGCAGGGGAAATAATGAAAGTTAGACTGAGGTCTTCATCTATGGCGGCGGTAGTGGCCGAATCATAGAGGTTGGGGAAGGTTGGCTCCTGCGCGCATCACAAGTTGTGATGTGAAGAGAGTTGGGCTGTTTGGTTCCAGGTTGAGATGATTTTAGGTCACCGCGCCATTAAAGGAGGAGGACGAGGAGTTCGCTGGAGGCGGTGGAGTACACCCGTAATAATGGAGGAATATATGAGTTTGTTTTTTATATGGTTTTCTTTTTAGAATAAACTAGCCGTTTGCCGCGCGATGGAGCGGGTAATAGTCATTAGTTATACAAAAGGTTGGTAATTTTTATAGTACGTAATTAGTTTATCCATAGATATTTATATATGTGAATATGTGTATATAATAGTCATAAGAGGTTTTTTACAATGTGTTTAAACTTTTGCTCTCGCTTGTTCTTCTGCATTTTTTTACCTACAAGATGCAAATTTTGAAAAAATTACTACCAATAATTGGAAAAGCTGAAAATGTTTTGCGTATATGTAATGTAAATTAAGGTATTTAGAACTAGTTATATTACCTCTTTTTTAGACGTTTTCTGGGTTGCTCTGTCTCATTTGATTGAGAACTAAAATGATAAAAGGTTATTTAGATATGTATTTAAAATCATGAATTTTTTTTTTGTTGGCAAATAATAGAAATTAGGAAATGTGTCTTACCTTGTGCTTGATTTTTTTAGATCTGGTGTTTGTGGATCTATTGATGTTGCAGTTGATGTTTGTGGTCGTGGTATTGGACTTTGGAAATTATGTTGTCTTTGAGTAGGGACTAACATGATAGAATATTGTTTAGATATGTATTTAAAATAATAAATATTATATATATATATATATAATTGATATAAAACAGTGGATGTGTTTTACCTTGTTGCTGATTTTCTTGGGTCTGGTGTCTGCGGATTCACTTATGTGGTGGCTGATATTTGTGCTGATGGTATTAGAGGCTGGGTATCTTCAAGTATTTTTGAAACGATTGTATTTGTCTGTGGTCCTCTCTGTTGAAAATATATTTGGAAGACTTTTATTTATCCTCTTAGTTGATCAATGACTAGTGGGATCACAAACAGATCAGTGAATCCTTGATCAATTATTAATGTGGAGCATGGTCTCTTGATTAAGGTCTGTACTACTCTGCTAAATACGGTGATATTCATGTCTCCAGTGTTATCATTTATTTGCATGTTTAATCTGTACCTACAAAATATATAATAATAGTTGATTGTCGTAATAAATTATTTATATGGCTAATGAAGGTAAATATATTTTAGTAATAGTGTATTTGTAATCTTAATTACCATGGAGACGGTGTTGTCTTTATATGCCCACGATTACCGCACCAACCAATGCTTGCTTGTTTTAGTTGTAGGTAATATCTGGGGCAAGAGTTGTAGTACCATTCTTGATATGTTGAGAATCTAGTTATTGTGGCTCTTATTGTAAATTTTACATTCTGCTTAAATGAGGAGACGTTATTAGGTTGAATAGTGTAATTGAAGGAAAAGAAGTTATTAGATTGAATAGTGTAATTGAAGGAAAAGAAGAAGGGAAAATATTATAGTGCTAACCTGATTGCTTTGTTGATCCAACGTGTTCAGCTCATCGATTGTTTTCCTGTTTTGCGTGTTTTGTTCTTCAATTGATTGCATTGGTGCTATTGATGCTGCTAGGAACTCGATTTTTTGGTGAGATAATCTGTATACGTAGAGATAAAAATATGTAGGGAAAGTGAGGGAAAAAGGTAATAGACGATTTTTTATATGTAATAGGATAGGTTTTTTTTTTTCCGAGATGTGAATTATTTTGGCTACCTTGTATTTAATGTCCTTGTTTCTGGTATGCCCGAGTCAATGTAGAAAATCATTGCTCCAGTACTTGAGACATATGGATTGCCTAAGATATCAGCAATAAATTTATTAATAGCTTGATGTAGGTGTTTTGTTTGTATATGCAGTTATTTTCATAAATTACTGGAAAAATACTTAGCCGAGATGTGAATTATTTTGGCTACCTTGTATTTAATGTCCTTGTTTCTGGTATGCCCGAGTCAATGTAGAAAATCATTGCTCCAGTACTTGAGACATATGGATTGCCTAAGATATCAGCAATAAATTTATTAATAGCTTGATGTAGGTGTTTTGTTTGTATATGCAGTTATTTTCATAAATTACTGGAAAAATACTTAGTTATTGCTTGACCAACATTGCTGCAAAAATTGCTACAACTCATTGATTTCAAAATATTTTTATCAATTTGATCTGATTTATGTCCCCATACTACCTGAAGTTGTTCATTCCTGTTAGTAAAGCAAAATGAAAAAAAGGAATTAGAATAGGGTATTTTGCATAATGTAAAAGTTGTGTTTTTATTAATTATAAACTTTTTCACATGATTAGGATAAAATGTACGTGGAGTTTATTTACCTTATATTTTTTATCATTATAGTGTGGTGTGATGTTGATCTGTTGTTGATGTTTGTCTGTTCAATTGCTTGCACCTTTGTTAGGACTCCAATAACATCTGTTGGTAGATCAATAGAAAATGTTAAGAATGTAGATTTATGAATTAACAGTATTTTCATTTTTTTGAAATAAGTGATTCACGTTACCTGTTAAAATTTTGACTGTCTGGATTCTTTGTTGAAGCTGGTCGAACTCAGTAAAATAAAAATATAAAATTTATGAAAGGGAATGGGGGGTGCTTCTTCTGTAATTGGGACAAAGGATGTTGTACACGCCAATTGAAGCATTGCAATATGTGGCACAACTTTGTATATTGACTTATTTTGAGCTACAAAGGAGTTGCTAATGTCATATATATTGCATTATTGAATTTTTTGCGAGATAGTTTTTGAATTGCGCACTCGGATTGATTTTTGGATTGCTTCATGTTGTGAATGAAAGAGATCAAATTGTTACTCATTTTATAATACTTCATTTTAGATGAAATATAGTATAATGTAGCGTTTATAGAAGTTATCACCTCCTCATCAACTAAAAGGTAGTCGAGGCTTATTAAGCGTCTTGTGGTGAAGTCATTGTTTGTCCATAATCTACAAATTCTTGCTCGGATAGTCCCATATACTTCATTCGGTTTTAGTGCACAAATTGGTGTTGTCATTCTGCTTAATTATAAAAAATTAAAAAGCAATTGTTTAGTACATGAATGAGTAATCTTATTGGATATGTTTTTTAAAAATGTTGGTAATGGGGCACTTCAATAGTGTAAAATTAGCAATGTAAAAAAATTATTGTTTAGCACATGAATGATCAATTTATTGGATATGTTTATAATTTATTGATAATGAGGCACTTCAATGGTGTGAAATTAGTAATATAAAATGTTGGATATGTCTCTAGGTTATTGCCAATGGAGTGCCTTGATGGTATAAAGGAAGTGATATCATGCGCATTTTTAGGTGGTATTCTATATTTTTATATGGCACTGCGCAAAATTCGTTTGTCGACTATTTTTTGCATAGTTTGGATATCTAGGTTATTGGCAGTGGAGTTGTTAAAGGTATAAAGGAAGCAATATTATGCGCATTTTTAAGTGGTATTCTATATTTTTCTATGACATTGTATAAAATTTCTTTATAGACAATATTTTTTACATGGTTTGAATATTTATTAATCGATTCATGTATTAGTATGTGTAATTCTTTTGGAGTTGTGGTTCTAGATAAAGCAGCATATAATTATCCGTGAGTGAAAATTTCACTTTCTAAATATAATCCAATTTTATTCAAGGATTGTCCTTGACTTTTATTTATTGTCATTGCATAGCAGATTTTTATGAGAAACTGTCTTTTTAATGTAAATGGTTATTTAGATTCATGTACAATCATTTCTATTCGTAATATACACTTTTTTATAAGTATTATTTGAAGTTAAGATTTCAAAAAATATTGAAATTTTACAGAAACGATCCTTACATTTTTCTACACATGCGAGAAAAAAATGGCCTCAAAAAATGACAAAACAAAGTAAAACGCAGTCAAAAAGCCCCTGGCCCGCATAGTGGCGCACCCAGGGGCAGCTCAGGGGTCGGGATGGGTTAAAAATTTACATTTTTATTTATGTTTTGCATTCTAAAATTAATATATGATTTTTAAGAATTAATACAACATGCGGCACCATTTTTTTGATGAATATTCTATTTTTTATGATTTTCTTTATTTTTTGTCTTTAAAAAATATAATAAAATAAAAACGGCATAAAAAAATAATGAACTTTTGCAGACGATCTTTACATTTTTTCAGGCATGCTAGAAAAACAATGACCTCAAAAAATGACAAGAAAAGTAAAACGTTGTCAAAAAGCCCCCGCCCCGCGTAGTAGGGCGCCTAGGGGCCAGCCCAGGGGCCGGGATGGGTCAAAATCTTACATATTTTTTTGTTTTACATTCTAAAATTAATATATGATTTTTAAAAATTAATGCAACAAGCGGTACCATTTTCTGATGAATATTCTATTTTTTATGATTTTCTTTATTTTTTGCCTTTAAAAAATATAATAAAATAAAAACGACGACAAAAAATAATAAAATTTTACAGACATGATCCTTACATCTTTCTAGGCATGCCAGGAAAAAATGGCTGCCAAAAATGAAAAAAAAAAAGTAAAATACTGTCAAAAACCTCCCGGCCCGCATAATAAGGTGCCCAGGGACTAGCTTAGGGGCCAGAATGGGTCAAAAATTTACATTTTTATTTATGTTTTGCATTCTAAAATAAATATATGATTTTTAGCAATTAATGCAACTAACGGCACCATTTTTTGGATGAATATTCTACTTTTATGATTTTCTGTATTTTTTGTCTTTAAAAAATATAATAAAATAAAAACGAAATAAAAAAATAATGAAATTTC